CCACAATGAACATCGTAACTTCCAACTACCAAATCTTTGCTAGATATATGTCGCATAATTTAGCTCCAAAATCAAGCGATGGCCCAACAAGAAGACATGAAGGGAAATAACTTAGAAATATAAGAGAACAAACAAATGAAAAAAGGAGGAGGAAAAGGAACTCTCATTCATGTGGGTCTTGCATATATAGATGTCTAGTGACCTGATTTGAAGAAGGAAAGTAAGCTAGATTAATTAATTGTGAAAGGATAATATGGCTCATGGCTGGAATAAGTTTTCGGTTCAAAAATATGGCTGGAATAAGCCGTGGAAGGTGGGGCAAGCGATCCCTCCCAACCATCGCTAGTGGTCTAACTATTTTTGCCGTATTTTATTATTTGGATTGGTGCTTTGATACGACCCATCATTTTTTTCCGGAGAAATTTATCGGATTTTTTTTTTTTAAAAGGGAAAAGTAGAAATAGCAACACTAATATATATCGAAGAAGGTTTACTGTATAATAAAATAATTATTTCAGATCTTATATAAAACAATTATACTATTTTTTAATTCTGTAACGACACTTTGGAAGAGGGAAATGGCAATTTGTTATTTATTTAAGAAAGAATACGAATTTGATTTATAAATGAAAGTAAAAATAACAAAAATAATAATATAAAATAAATATGATTACATGATGAGTAATTTGAACTTGGGGTCGCCTCTACAGAGGAGCTATAATATCAATACAACTAGAACTTGTAAATTGCACCTGAAAAAAGTAGGAAATTATAGGACAATAATTGAGCATCTAGACACCAAAAGTAAAAATAAATAAAAAATAAAAAATAAAAAATAAAAAATAAAAAATCTGTGAACGAAATAAAGTGTCCCAGCCAGTGAAATGCATCAGGGTCCAGTCCTTCTAAGCAAAACTCTAAAATGCATGGTAAATTTATTGTAGTATAATATAATTTAACGTGGATTGCTATAAAAAATTTATATTTACGTTCCTTGTTGGGAAAAAATGAAAGGTTGGGATATAAAGGAATTTTTTTTTTATTGATGAACTAGTCATTAAAAGATTGAATAAGAATATTGTTATTTTTATAAATTATTTTATACAATAAAAATGCTTTTTTACCCCTAAGATCAACGGAATCTAAACCCCTTAAACAATGAGTTTTTTTTTTTTACTTTACACGAACTTTAAATTAAATAAAATATTTCATTGCTATTAGATAAGATAAAATAGCTTTTATGCCTTCAAGGATGTTTTTGTATTTTTATATTAGTTTATTTGTTATTTCCTAAGTTATGAGAGGTATTTTTTAGTAATTTAACATTTATTTTTAATATTAATTTTTAAAAAAGATACTAGTGTGTTTTTTCAAGTGTCGTTGTATTGGTGACATCTGTGATCTTTCAATGAGATGTGCGACGCCATCATTTCTTATAAAATAACTTTTTGTCGTGTCATATGAAGCGCTTTCACGTGCTCTTGTTTTTAATGTGGAGCGTGTCGGTGGTAGTTTGATGATTTGTCATCGATAATTGTTTCTTTTTTTTTTTCTTCCTATTTTTTTCTCTCTTCTAGTTAAAGTGAATATTTGTCCTTTTCTTTTGGTTTTTCAATTTTAGTATTTATGTTTAATTGCTTATTTTCATCCTTCACCGTTTTATAAATTTTTTTTATGTTTTCAATTTAGTTCTTAAATTACAATTTGTCATATATTATTTTTGTCAATTTAGTCCTTATTCATTTAATTTTTCTTTTTTATCTATGGATCTTTTGTTAAATTTTTATTAACATTCAATTTCATCCTTCAATCAAACTTTATTTTTTTTTTAATTATTTATCCTTCATTCTTTTGATTTGTCTTTTTTACTTTTTTTAATTGTTTTTTTCTTCCTGATTTAACCCTGTAATTTATTTTTTAAATGCCCTTAAATTTATTTTTGGTTTTGATTTCCACCCTTATTTTTTAATTAATTTATTTATGTGGTTGGATTTTTTTTTTCCCATATACATCCTTCAGTATTTGATTTATTTGAGATTGAACTTTAAGGTTATTCATTTGTGATCCTTCTAGTTTAATAACATGGGTCACACATTTTAAGTGTTAATATGGTTATTATTTTTTTTCTCATTATATTTTGTGATTTTATCATCTATATTATTTAAAAAAAATTATTTTGTGGTTACCTTCATTTTTTTTTTGTCAGCTTATCTCCATCTCATTATTTAAATCATGAGTTTTGCAAGTTGTTTTTGAATAAAGGTTTTTTTTAAAAAAAAAGATATTTTGTTTTTGTGTTTAATTTTTGCTGATTTTTTATTTTATTTTATACAAGTATGCTTTGTTTTGTACAAAAAATAATTATTTTGAAATAATATTTCTTATATGTTCGGTCATGCATATTGTTTTTCCTTTCTTTTATTCACTCTATTTTATCTATGTTTTTATTTCTATTATATTTTATTGATTTTAATAAATAAATTTAGTGGATACAAACAGATAAATGTCTCATTTTATGAAATTAAATATCTTAATCTATGTCCATCTTTTTTTTAGTTATTATTAACAATTTTATTTATTTATTTACATAGATAATTATTAGTTGTTTGGATAAATTTTTCAATTTATACTTATAATTTATATTTTGTAAAAAAATATTAAAATAATCTATATAATCAATATTGTTTTTAGAAGGAAAAATTACGACCCACTATAAAACGCATATCAAATCAACTTTTTAGTTGCTATATAATTAATATTTTTTTCACCTTTATTTTTTAGATTATTTTGTGTAATTGATTTTTTTTTCTTGATTTATCTTTTGACATTTGATTTGTTTGAGAGTTGACTTCATAAGATCTTATTGCTTTGCATATGTTTTTTTTAATATTTTTAAAGATGTTATGCTAATTCATTTAGAATCCTTTTTTGGATTTTATACAAATGAAGTTTATTTTTTAAAATAAAAAAATATTTATTTTTAAATAATATTGCTGATGTGTTTGACCTTTCATAATATGTTTTTTCAAAGATGAATTTATTTAGTCAATTTTATTTGTGTTTAGTTTTTAAGTCATGAATTTTTTAAGTTGTGAATTTATTTTTTTATTGATTTCAATAAATAAATTTAGTAAACACAATCAAGTGAATGTCTCATTTTATGTGATTGAATATATTGATTTACATTCATCTCTTAATCTTATCAATTTCTCTTTTGGTTATTGTTAATGATTTTTTTCCTATTTATTTATATAAATAATTATTAATTTACTTAATGAGATAATAGAATAGGCTTTTCAATTTATATTTTAAATTTTTTATGTTAAAAAATACATTGAAGCAACCTATATAGCCAGTATTTTTTTTGAAAAAAATCATGACCTCCGGCGAAGCACGAGTTAAATGGCTAGTGCATATACTAAGACACCAATTGTTTTTACAATGCAAAAATATTTTTGAAAAAACTTTAAATTTTTTTTTCAAAATTTTTTTTTAGTGTATTTAGATTATATTGATGTGCTAGTATTTATTTTTAAAAAAAAATATTATTTTAATGTATTATTAGATAAAATATATTTTAAAAAGCAACCATTACCATAATATTAAATATTTTATGAGTGAGAAAACATGGGTATGAATTAGGCAATTCAAGAGCATAATGATTTTTCTTGTTCAAACATATTCAATATGGTGATGGTGTTGTTGCAACTAGATATTGTGTGTTTGACATAGTAGTAATTTTTGTAATTATGGTTTTTAAAAAATATTTTTAAATATAATTTAAATAAATGTATATTTAGTTTAATCATTGTGAGATGAATTTTTACATGTAAAATAATAATAATAAACAGATCTTCAATGAAAAACATGTTATTTTAGTTTTTATAAAACCAGAATTTACAAAGCAATTTTGTATTGGATACAATGCAAAAAACAGTAGCTATTTATCTGAGCAAACAATTTTTTTTGTTGGATAAAAAAGCAGAAGCTACAATCTCTTGGTGTTATACGTCTGGGGCCATGATACAAGTTGTAATACTCACAACACATGCAAGTAATAACAGTAAACAGATCAATCAGAAGGAGTGCTTCCAGAGCTGGCAGCAGTCAGGGAACTTCTGTTGATCTAAATCACAGATCAAGGGAGTTGCAGGGAAGTGGCAGCAGTACAGACGTTTTCGTCAACTATAAATGTGTTTTCAGCGTATCTACTTGCATTTTCGACTCGTGGCCTTGTATCACTTTACTTATTTGTGTTATGATCTCTGGAAGTTCTAAGTTCGAACAAATATTTGTGTAGAATCCACAACTCGAATATATCAAATATCAAAGATAAGATTAGAAGGCAGCACGTGCTAAGCCCCGAAACTATATCCTTATGGGCTTGACTACTCCTGTACGTGTTTAAACCAAATTAACCGTGGCTGCTAGCTTCTTTTTCTAGTGCGAGATTCAGGCCTTGGGGCCCCGGGTTGTTCTTACAGAAAGATGGATGGTGCTTCTTCTTCTTTTTTCTTTTTTTCTTTTCACCCTTTGTCAAGGTGATTTTACACGTTGTGAAAAAGAGATTCCGAGTAACATCTTGTCCCCCATTATGACATCACTTCACCAGTGTATATTAAGCTCATTACCCTCACAAAGCTTGTAATAGAAAGTGGTGTTGTAAACTTAGAGAGTGGCATCATCGTTTCCCTATTGTTTGGACCTTGGTGTACGCATGGAATATGATATATAAAAAGCAATTCTGATTTCATCTTATGTTTTATATATATGTACTCACCAAACGCATCCTAATTGTACAATCGTGATACATGCTAATCTTTGACTTTCTCTGTTTGCGTTGCTATTACACCTATTTTCTCATGCCGAAAGAAAAGGCATAGCATCTGCTTTGCCTCACTAGCAATCTTGGAATGCCGCGGTGCTAGATGCCAAGACCCTCAATCAAGCGATAAAAGAAATGACATTTACTTCCATTTCCCTCTATATATATCTCTATCTGTCCGAGCTTGTCGTAAATCTTCAGCTCTTACACTGAGTCATGGCATCTATGATTCATTACAATTTAGGTGCTGGCATTAGTCTTACAAAAACCCTGAATAGCAAATTTTCTGCAGTCCAGCCAAATAATATTGCTAATGCAAGGCATTTGAGCAACCTAGCAGTCACCAGTAATGTCCATTCTCCTATCCCCAAGTTCACATTTCCTCAACAATCATTAGCAACAAAAAGGCAACTAAATGTTGCAGCAAAGAGCAAACAGGATCAATGGAAACTGCAGTGCAGTGACTGTACACCTGGTTTCACATCGGATTTCTTTGATGATATTGGCATCCTGATCCACAGGTTCTTCTATGCCATCAATTCGAGAAACGACGAACAATTACTGGAGGATGTTCTCTCGTATGACTGCGTGTTTAAGGACTTAATTTTTCAGATTGCTTTCGATGGAGAACAGGTCAGTACATTTTAGTACAACATCTTTTCTCCAAGCTGTTCGTTTTCTCGATGTGACAATGTACCAGATATTTGCCTCAAATACTCAGTCAAGATTTATTGTAGAAATTTAATGCAAGTATATCAAGTAATTCACAACGAATATAATACCGACGGTTCAATATTTTAATATGTAGAAGATTTTCACTATGTTGTAAATATTCTGCTGTATTTACTCTGCAATATTTCTTTCATTCTTTAGCTCTTGATCATGGGCACTAATTAAGCTTGTATTTTGTATCTACAGACCTAAATGAATTGAGTCAAAAAAAGTCTCGCAATCTATTTTTTTTTACTTGCAATATATCACAACATCCCTGAATGTTAACAGTTTAGGCTGGGCATTTACAGAGTATCATACAATTTCTTCGGAAGGTAATGAAGGCAATGGGGCCTCATATTCGTTTCAAGATTGAAAGGGTGCAACCTAGGAATGAATTGCAGGCTGCAACTGCTTTCTTGCATCTAGGTGAACGCCACGGCCACAAGCTCTTTTCAATTACTCAAATTCAATAGTTAGATTTTACCATTATTAATTAGATACAACAGCTTTTCTTTTACCTTGACCTCTTGGAAATATATCTATATCTAATTATCTATATGTGCGCGCGTAAGCTAGATTCAACTGTTAAACTATTTTGTTCCTTTTCAGAGTGGAATAATCAAGTTATACCCTTCACCAGATTTTGCACTGACTTTGAATGCGAGTTTGGCCAAAAACCCTTGATCAGGTGCGCAATAATTTGATTGAAATATTTTTTTTTTACTCCATGTTTTAGTATAATGGTAATCTGTATCAATTAATCTGGAAGGAAGGGCTCTTATTGTTTGAATTGAATTTCTCGATGGTCTCAAGGAACAGCTGATCGATTTATAAACTGATCAGAACTAGTAATCTTGAAGGAGATTTCACTTCATAAGCACGGATATAATTTTAAGATGGGTCGGAAAGAATGCCGAGAAATGGACGAGATCCATTTGTTCTCCAATGGCCAAGATAAAATGGGCCGTCCAAGCAAACATAAGAGAGCAAATGAAATAGTCCCATCATCTCTACTTGCATGTTTTTTTTTCCCTCTCTAAATTCTAAGTTCAAAAAAAAAAAACTCAGGTGATTAAGAACTTTTACGCGTTAATTAAAGATTTTCAACTGACCAAGGAAGACTATGAACATGTGTAGTGAAATCACAGTAGTGAAAGAACAAGGCGAAGTCGTAGATGTTAACATTATGCTGGTATGAGCAGTTGATCATTTTTTACTTCCTCATAATTTCTCCATTCTCTTTGCATATGTACAATCACACGCGTGTATAGCTGCGTTTCTTATGTTGTTTCTTATGTAAATTCGCAGAAACTTTTGAAGGCAGCAAGTACCATATTTGACATGTTCCCAGATCAAACCAGGAGTAAGCAGAAGTTCTTTGATGGGATAAACACAAATTATCATTATTTATACTCTTTCGAAGATTTTTTTCAATTTATATGCTTCAATTTTCTTACATTTATTCCAAATACTAATGACATGTTACAGTACTTGTTTAAATACTCTTGAAAAACATGTTACCGGAATACTTAATCAATACTAATTTTTAAAGGTTCAGAAAACTAAATAGCAAAAAAAATGAAGGCTGAATTAATATCAAGATATTGTCATAAAAAATATAATTTTTCACAAAAATATCCTCCAAAACACCCTTTTTTGTACGAGAAATATTCTTACTACTTTTAAATTCACTCCCTCAATAGTAAGACGATTTTGGATTAAAAAAAAAAGGTTATCCCTATGTTTCAAACTTTTGAATTAGTTTATATTTCTTTAATATTTTAAAAGGGTTATTATAATGACTAATTTCTCATAATTTCTTTTGCAGAGCTGCTATCGGAATTGAACGAATAATAAAGATGGTTTTGGAGATATTTGGAGGATATTCGAAGTTATTTAACTCGATATGGATCCATTATCTTGCCGTGATCTACATGCAGTGGCAGATTCAAGATATCAAATTCGGAAGAACCGTGTATTATATAATCCACTGGATTGTCGGTTAAATTAATCTACTGTAAGAATAAACAAATTAAGTAATATGTGTCACTAGAGGATAATTTTCTAGTTGCTTGAAAGATTTTATTTGATTGTGTGGTGCAAGAGGGATATTTGTTTTCTTCAGAATTTTTTAAATTATTTCATATTTTTCGATTTTGCACATGCTATTTTTTAAATGAAAACTAAATATTTGTTCCGAAAAATAGGTAAGTATATACGCTAGATTAAACGACGTGCCATTTTTCATTTACCTTTACAAAATCTAGTTCGTAAATATTTATGTTGCAAATCGCATAGCATATGCTATACAGTAATACGTTTTTGTAAAATTCTTGACATGTACCGTCTGAAAATTGGAAAATCTTTAATAGCAGACTAAATTGAAGAATTATAATACTTCGGGGAGAAGTTTTTTAATTTGAATAACTGCTTTGATAACTAATTTTTTTGCCAACTAATCTTATGTTTATCAAAAAAAGAATTGACAAAAGATGTTAATTCTAGTTAATTTAGCTCATAAAATCACTTGATGCTTTGCCAAATAACCTTATCTAATTACGATTACATTTTACCCGACTATCTATAGGTATAAGATTTTCTGAGTGGGGGTATATATATATAACCCATGTTTTGCTTAAAAAACATCAAAAGTGACAATTGAAAAACTTATATATACATCTAATAAATTAAATAAATTAAAAATTATATATGTTAATATCATTAACAATAAATAAAAATAAAAATTAGATATAAACCAAGATATTTGACATTGCAATTCTAATCTTTGACAAGATTGTGTTTTATGACTTTGTTCACGAAAATCAACTTTTTATTTAATTAAATGATAATAAAAATAGATACACATGAAATTTATTAAATAAAATAAAAGGTAAAAAAAATATTATACAAGTTTACACATATTTAAAATATTATTTAAAAATAAATAATTTTTAATTTATTAAAATAATTTTTTTATATAAAACATAAAAAAATTATAGATGAATTAGAACAATTTATCAAAAAATTAAATGCATACAAAATAACTAAAACATAATTATTATTTAAAAGAGGCTAGATTAACAAAATAAAAGAAAGAATGCATATTAATTTAAATATAAATTTAAAAATTATTTTGATAAAACACATTTTAAAAAAAAATTAATTAAAAAATATTTATATATAAAAAAAGCTAGTCATTGTTAGGCCTAGCACATCTAGTAAGGGCTTACTTGCAAAAGCAAGACCACGTGCTTGCAAAAGTAGGACCATGTGCTTGAACTCTTAATTTTTATTTTATTTGTAATGAGATATATATTTGCTTTAATTATTTTTAAAATAAAAATTAGTTAAATGACATATTGTTTGATATGACTTAGTTTCTAGCCATCAAAGTAGATAAAAAGTATGGGGAGAAATTTTTTAGATCTAAAATTTAATTTTTTAAAATATCTTTTACTTATAACATATAGAAAATATCATAAATAACTTGATAAACTTATTTATAATTTTAATAAATAAAAAAAAAATTATCTCAAAATTTAAAATTAAAAATTACCAAGCTCATATATTTACTCGTATTATTGCTGGATTCTAGTGGCTTCCTCTCATCACTCTTAAACCAAGGAGGAAAAAATAATGCAAATAGAGTTTGATGTGAAAATTAATTTTACTCTTAGATTTAAAAATCTAAAGGAAGCAATATTTATAATTTGAATGTATAGAGATTACAATTAATATTTCATCCAAACTTTTTTAAAATCACTCATTCCCTTGTGTTTTGCATTCTAATATCATATATTTTAATTTTAATTTTTTTCAAGACTTATAATTTAGTTCAATAAAGATCAAATTAAAATAAAAAATACCGTAAATAATTGGATAAGAGTGTCATGTGAGGTAACCACTGTGCATTTTTCATAGTGAATTCCCCACGTATCTTAGATTTATAGTTAATTTATAAAATCAATATACCAAATATTATTAGCACCAAGAAAAAAATGATGAATGGAACACAAGAACAGAGAACAACAGGGACTCGAAAACACGAACCCCAACACCAAGATACCATGGAACTAAAGATTATACAGAAAACCAGTACCCAATATAATCAAAACAAATCAGCATCATTTCTCAATACTCCACCAATTCCAACAGGATCTGGTTTATCCAAGGAGGATATATCTTTTGATTAATACATTTAATTATACTATCAGCAGAACCCACAACTCACAGAACCGAGCCAAATCTTTCAAATAGAATAGTTTACAAGATGATGATCAACTGATTCCTTCAATATTAAAAAAAGGGCAATAGATTGGAGAAACAAGAAGAATGCCTCTGTGAAGAAGATATATACGCAGCTAGATCTTTCCAAAAACCAATGAACTTTTAACTGAACTTGTTTATATTTTTAGGTAAGAGATGGAGTTGTTTAATATTTTACTGTGATAGTCAAATTCAGTCCGACTTTTCCTTCCTTCTAAGTTCTAACATTATTAACTAAGTATGAATGTAAAAAACTAAGAATCAAAAAAGAATTTTGATTGACATAGGGGAAAATGATTTGAAAATTATTTCTGCTAAATAATATAGGCAATCGCTTATTTTTGCTGCGGAAATGCATTTTTCTTCATCGGCCCGTTTCTAGTGTATTTTTTTGGCCCAATTGACTTGAGATCTGCACTAGTTTAGGATATGATTTCTGCTGGGGCAATGCTTTTCTGTTTTTCCTCTGTCCATTTTCTGGAGTGTATTATTTTCTCAGCCCAATCGACCTTGAGATATTACCTGGTCTAGGACATGAGTTATCGGGTTAATAGTTAACTTAATTTTATGATTTGTTTAAAATAATATTGTCTTAATATTTTTTTAAATATTGATTTTGACTTGAATAGATCCATCCGGGTCAACAAGTAAAAAATCTAACTTGTAAAATCACATTAATTTAATCAGGTCAATGTAAAAATGAAACCTAATCTTTAAAATAAAACCCAGTCTAAATAAGATTTTGGGTCAACTCCTCAGGCTTTAGTAACTGTGCATGTACGGTTCTCCTTAAGCCACGTATAAATGATTCCTCCATGTAGGATACAATGCTGGTTTAATTATAGAACTCTACTTTTCGAACTCTCGTTTTGACACTGCAAAATCTTTTTCGTCGTCCATTACAGCCAAATCAATAACAAAGAGAAAACAAAGTAAATATCTCTAATATCTTTTCATTTCATTCTCACATGCCATAATCTTTCATTTTCATGGGTATTTAACAGTAAATCTTGCTTCTGTAAAGAAGAACAAGATCATAAAATACAAAATCGAAAAAGGTTAATATATAGTAAAGTATGTATCAAGGTCTTGGATAAACCTCAAACCCCGAGAGATCAAAAGAACTCCAATTATTGTCGCTGGTAAAATTGGCTGAAATCTTTAGACGATCATCCACTGAAAATGAATCAAAATCTTGCAATTGTACCATGGGTTGCCAATTAGGAACATTAGGCAAGGTTGCATCATCTGACCACAAAGCATCTTGCACAATTTCATCGATCAGTAAATTTTGCAACCCAAATGCATTCATGTCTTGACTTTCCATGAGTTCTTGAAATCTCTCCTCTTCAAATTGTTGCTTCTCTCCTACAAGCACCTGAGATCTCCCTTCAAGTAAATTGGATTCTTGGGCCAGATCAGATCGCTTCAGGCTTTCCATCATCGGATCATTTTGGTAGCTGTCTGATATTGGGGTTGAAGAATTCGATATATTAACCAACTCACTGCCCTCATCACGCAATTCTTCACCAATAAACTCGGGCCCATAACTCAAGTCTTGATTCAAGAACTTAGAGAAAACAGCAGCTAGATCAATATCGGAGCCGTTGGCTCCATCTTGTTGAGCCACTGAGTCTTTATTCGAGGAACAAGCTAATGTCTCATTAGCCCTACTATAATCAAGCGAAACAGAAGCACGTTCATTCTGCAAGATCTTAGAGGACCGCGCTCTGCGATACTTGCGACAACCACCACCTACAGGAACATTTCTTAGCGACCCTCCTTTAGTCCAATACCTTCTACAACCCTTACAAAAATACCTAGGCTGTGACAAGCTGTAGTTGT